GCATGCCTAGCAAGCATGAAGTCCTGGGTTCCATCCCCAGTACCGCCATTAAAAATCAATTACCTTCCCCTCAAATAAAAAATAAATACATAAAAGATTTTAATTAGAAAGATTCCCTCATGTCTCCCCACAAGGTATCCGCCTCAAGGAGTGAAACTGTTTTCACATTAACAGTTGTTCACGGCTGCTCTTATTAAAAGCTAACATGGTGACGAAAGCCACACTCAACCAGATGTTCAGGTTACCCTCTCCTACTTATATGACTGAGGAGCTGAGTGGAAATCTTACCCCTGCCTCCAACTCTTTTACTGCCCTATGTTATAAGGAAGAGGACAAGCTACGTGCAGCAGATGGAGACACATTAACCCTGAACAAGTATTAACGGCAGTGAAGGAAAGCTGAAGACACAGTGTAGCAAGATGAATCTGAAGGTGGTGTGAGGGCACAACAGGCAGGCAGCACCAAACCTGGCCTCCCGTCCCCAGAAACGCAGGCAGGCACAGCATCGCAGCGGTCACCCTGCCTTCAGCCCTCTACACGCGGCAGGGAACGACTTCTACCTCACTGGACCACACTCGGCGGCGGACAAATCAACCCTGACCACCCTCCACCATCGCACTTAGCATGCTACAGACCCTGCCCATCTCCCTGGTTATATTTCCTGCTCGTGACTTCAAGGTTGGGACCTGAATCCCCAGCATATAAAGCACAGTATCTTCTGAATGCAATTCATCGGCTTAACCTTCTTAAGAACTTCTCGAAAGAAATCTGAAGAATGAAAATGTAAGTGCTGATTTGGGGAAGATTAAAGGCCCAGAGGTCAATTCTGGAACATGGCACTTTGACAGGTAGCAGGTATGGCAGGGAGTTCCAGGCGAGGATGTGACTGGGAGTAAGCTACAGAGAAACAGAGAACAGAAAGCTCTTTGTGGGGTGGGAGTACACCTAAAATTAAGACAGAGGGCCAAAACTCAATTCTCAGACTACACCCACAGTTAGAGGAGTCAGCAGAACACAGATAAAACAGAAATTTAACAGAAAAATCAGGAGGAAAAAACAACACAGAACACAAAAGAAGGTTTCAAGAAAATGAAATAGTACTGAATAATACTAAATGTAGCAGAAAAGTTCTAAAAATAAAGAAAATGGCAGGGGAGAGGTAGGGAACAGATCACTTAACTGGTCCTGGATGGTAAACTTACAGCAGTAAATGTGTTGTTTTCAAAAGCACATTTAACATAAACATTATTTTACGAACTGAACTGTAAAAACTGAGATACTTAGAAGACAGACTGAAAAGGCACCACCGGGAGCAGTCCCTGCCTTCAGACTAAAGGCAAGGATGGAAATCACACTGTACGAAGGCGGGGATACACGAGGAATTAGAAAAAGGACACAATGGTTTAGGCTCATTTAAAAAGCACAAAAAATTCAAAAGCAGTTTCATGTGGCAGGAGAGTCAAGTGAAGATAATTTAAGGTAAGAGAAATGTAACATTCTGAAATAGAAGAGCAGGGATTCCACAGGGAGATAGAAACACAAGTTATTGGTCAGAGGGTAACTGAGATAGTTATCTCTGGATATTTTCCGGAATTCTCGGAATAGGGAAAAAAATGAAAACTTTGCCAAATATTTTCTTGGAGACGGGGTGGTGCTCATAAACACCTCTCAGCATAACCGACAAGAGTTCTGGTGCTTTGTGAGCACTCTCCAGCAGGGCTTACCAAGGCTTTCTAAACCCATACATTAAATAAGAAATGGCCAGTGTAATATATATAATGGTTCCTTAGATCCTTGGTTCAGCATGACTTAAACTCAAAGTTTAAGGTTGGCCAGGAGATTATTAGGTAGATAGAAACATTCTTCTTCTACAGATTAACAGCAAAGCAGATAAAAAGGTCATTTATAACAACTGGGTAAGAAAAATCTGCAAACCTGGAAATTACACATGAATATTATCACTAGGGTTCTTGAACTAGATTCCCTACAAATATGTTTAATGATGAATTGGACTCAGTTTCATTGATTTTCATTTACTGTCTAATCATAAGATCAAAAATTGTATCCAAGCATTACGTTCTATATAGGAGACATGGTCCTGTTAACTGTATTTTAAGTCACTATTTCATGTTTCTTAGAGCTGTTACAAAAAATCTCACCCTAGTCCAATCAAAGCATTGAGTATGACAACTTGCAGCTAAAGAAAAAAAAATCCCACCTCTACAGTTTGACACTCAACAAATTAAACTAAATCAGAAAATCTGGATGGTTTGGCCTTGTTAGTTACTCTTACAAATAGAATGCTGTTAAGGGGTTTGGGTAACAGATTGTCAGAGTGAGTTTACCAATCTAAAGAGCCTTCAAATAAGGAAAAGAAAGAAAAGCCAAAAAATACATCATCTTGGTACAGCCTACTAATTTTATAACAAATATGTTGAATTTGCAGAATACAATCATTACAGCACTTAAGAGGCAATGAGCTTCTGTGTGGTACTGAATAACTACTACCCAAAAAAAGCATTAAAACTACGTTCACCATAGCACTGTAAACTGCTGTAACCCCTCATCTTCTACTGGCTCACTGAGCTATCCTGTAACAGCTTATCATCAACTGCTGTTGTTGACAAACAATCCTTATAATCCTAGTCTTACGTCTGCTATTGCTCCGATGAGTACTCATCCAACCAGTTTTATAGCTCTAAAATCTATTCATTTTAAGTAAACATTTTTAGTGGCTGAACATAATGTTTTTAAAGTTTCTATAAATGTAATATTCAAATGTATAAGCTGTTTTTCAAATCCATGTTTCAATGACAGTTTCATAAGGCTCAACTTAATATCCTTTCTGACAGGGAGAATAGATAGTTCGATATTTTGTCTGATACGTTTGATGAAAATTTGTCATTTATTCTTGATAGTTTAGAATTTTCTGCTAACAGATCTGCTCTGCAGGAAATACCAAAGGGAGTCCTTCAGGATGAAGGAAAGGAGGAGAGAGGAACTTAAATCCAAACGAGTCGATAAAGAACACAGGTAAATATAAAAGACAGTATAAGCGTGTTTTAC